GTGTGTGTGTGTGTGTGTGTGTGTGTGTGTGTGTGTGTGTGTGTGTGTGTGTGTAAAGGTATGCTCAGTGATGGGTGGAGAGGCAGGTACATTAATGTAACAGATGGTTTGAGGTACATGGCAAGAAATCATTACAAAAGGTCAAAGGACGGAGTTTGACATTTACCAAGGCACACATCATATTGCTAGTGACATACACACACACACACACACACACACACACACACACACGCACACACACACACACACACACACACAGAGGACAGCAGGTTTTAGCATCTTTCCTCCATGAGTGGCAGCATGTTGAAGATGAGGAAACATTTATTGTCTGTTGTCCAGATCCTCTGTCATTTAAATGCATAGCAGAGTTTGTATGTCTCACGATGTTACACACACACAGACACACACACACACATGGGCTGGCATCACTCCAGTTTCATTACAACGCTCTCTGGCAGGCCGATTGAGTGATCAAAGCTAATCACATTTAATCACATCTAATCATATGTAATGACCAACACTGAATGCACAGGCATGACAACACTCCTCACTTCCTCCCCATTCCTTTCATCTTCACATTTGACACCCCCACCACACACACACACACACACACACACACACACACACACACACTCATGAAGAAAAACAAACTGTTGCCCACTCCACCCCCAAATCCCTCAACTTCAATGTTTTATCTTCCATCCAAACCAAGAATCTGCGTAGAGATGGAGAAAATCTAGTGGAAGGAGGTTTAAAAATTAATAAATAAATAACTGTGAACGGATCGGTGGCAGATGGAGGCTCGGAAATGGATCATGCCTGGAAGCAGGGACACATTAACTTCCTGCTTAGGAAGGTTTGTCAAAACAACTCAAAACAATAGACTTCATTTTCAACATCATCACTTTCTCATTTTATGCATATTCAGAGCAGCTTCCTAAGAACATTTGTGGTTTCCTCTCCATTTTTCATTTCTTTGATCAGACTGTGAAATTTTGCTGAGATGTTTCTTCAGAAAGAGGTTGCTTGAAATGATAAACTAATGAGATTACAGGCTGGGATTTAGGAAAACCACACATAAAGTGGAGAGAAATGCTCATGGTGTGATCTGACTGTGATGCTAATAGTTGGTAAATACTTTCTTAGCACATGGGTTTTTGACTGAGGGTGAGTTTTCCTGTTTGTAAATTTAACCTCCATTTTCAAGGGGAAACCTTCTCCCCATAGCTGTTAAAAAACCTTATTTAAGGCTTTGCTATGATTCAAAAGATGCATTTATCACTTGGATAAACAGGATTTGAGTCATTCATCCCTTAAACCCTTCTGTCATGGAAATTACTTCTTCAAATCACCTCCTCTGGCCAGCACCCTGCTGCGTCAAGGTAGTGACCACAGTTTGAGCTACTCTTTCATGCACTCTTTTTTTATTCTTCAGACATCTTTCTAAAGTCTGGCAGCTTAAAACAGGTATGAACCTTTTTTTTCCTTTGCACCCTGCACATTGAAGCACGACCAGCAGAGCAGCAGCACCTCTGGTGGGTTTTTGTTTACACAAGCCTCCTCTGAGCTGTCGGTCACCAGCGTTTTGTCAGCGCTCAGAGGCTAACAAGGCAATCATTTCTGTTCTGAGCTGAAATAGTTCAGACCTCAAGACTAAGCACACCCTGACCTTTACTGTGAGGGGGGAAAAAGTCCTTCTGTGGGTGCATGTTAAAAAAAATTGTCAATTTCAGGTCACTCAGACAGAAGGATTATGTGAATCTATTGTGAAGGCTATGAGGAGAAGCGCCGGGACGTAGGGCTCTTAGACCTGATTGAGTTTGGTTTGTGGGAGTCATAGTTTGCTTCTGAGCAGGGCTGAGCCATATGGGGAAAAAATCCTGACACAACATTAACTCTAATATTGGTCAATATGGATAAATATCACGTTAGAAAACAAATCACTATTTTCCAAGTCATTCCTTAATGCTCTCTTGTACGTTTAACTGAGATTTGAAATATCATAGGGCTATTTTTGGTTTTACACATTTATTTTTAAAAATTGAACATTTCAATAAACATATAACTGTTTTAAGTTATTAAAATAAGTTTATTTTAAACAAAAATCTCCAAGTATTAGAGAAGAACAAAATAAACATGGAGACATTCTTCTGTTGTGTCAAATCTAAATTCTCAAAATCTCTCTGCTGGTTTTATTGACATAACATTACCGCAACGGTGTGTCTTCTAAATGCACCATGCGGGCATGGCGATATTCGTTTAGCCTCACTTGGTTGTAATATTGCGGTAATTGTCAGTCGTATCAACGGTGATTGCACCTTGGCGCAATAGGGAGGTGTCATGATGACGTGAGGAATTACTGCCGAGGTCCGGCCGGCAACTGTATTGAAAATAAAAGAAAGCATGAACGTTTTGCATTTTGAACATAATCAGTTGAGATGGCAAACTGGGGCATCTCCTGGAGCTCCTCTCCATTAGAGCTGGAGGTCACAGGGTTTTGCAGGTTTAAGGGAGCCAAATGCAAGACTTTTTAAGACCTTTTTTAAGGCAACTTTGACCAAATTTAAGCTATTTTTAAAATTAAATGTAAGCTATAATTTCCAGCTATTGCCTGGAACCGGTGCTAACCACGTTGCGGACGTGGGATTAACCATCCAGTTACCATTAAACTTCCACTTCCCCATGGCGCAAGCTCCCACTAGCTTAACCAGCTAATGTGCTCATCTAAAAATAGCCCCCTTTCACAACCAACTGAATGTGTACGGTTCCGCTTACATCATACACAAAAAATGCTGAACACTAACTAGAAATTCATGAAAATTTTACAGAAATAAAAGAATCTTGTTTATTGGGTCTTTGGTAATTTAAGACCTTTGGAAACCGTATTTAAGGATTATTTGTCATTTTTTAAGGATTTTTAAGGCCTTAAATTTGGAAAAGCAAATTTAAGACTTTTTAAGAACCTGCGGATACCCTGAGGTCAGATCACCAGAGACAGCACAGGCACTTTGGAGGACAGACACCTTTGGGAGCAGCTTGTTAAAAGAACCTATTGAGCGTGGCTTTGATCGCAATAAAACGCAAGTTATGTCCATTATAAACGGACGTCCGCAGCAGCGCAGAGACCTCCCCATACCCCGTTTATACCACCATCGCCTAAGCTATTGTAAAAAGGACACGACTGCACCACATTACGTCATTCCACAAATGTGGAATGACCTACCAAGCACTACAAGAACAGGGGCTTCCTTTTCAACTTTCAAGAAACTCCTGAAGACCCTGCTCTTCAGAGAGCATCTTCTAATCTAGCACCCTCCCTGCACCCGTCCCCCTCTCTTCTGTCGACTCCTTGTTCCCTCCTCTCCATGATTCATCATGCTGCCTCACTGCCACCTACGACTGACTGGAAATTGTTTTTTGTTGTTGTTGTTATTGTTGTTGTTATCCTCAAGGGCAACATGCCGATTATAACTTGTAAGTTGCTTTGGACAAAAGTGTCTGCTAAATACATAAACATAAACATAAAAAAGAACATAAACATAAACATTACCGCCATGGTCTGACCACTTAGAAACAACCTAAAGTTCCCTGATGCCGCCACAGCGTTACAGCAAGTTGACGCATTGTTTTGGAAAACGGCTAGTGTTTTCCATGTTTTCGTTCCCTTTTGGGTCGCTCATTTTTTTTCTATTTTTACATGCCATGTCTTATTTGTTACCTGCAGCAGGAGCCTAAAGCTACACAAATATTTGCTGTTAGCATTGGATCTGTCTGCTATGCGGCCCTATTCTAGCCACTGATTGGTCCTGTGAAGAGCAATATTTAATATGATTGGCTGTTCACCTGTCCTTTGTATTGAAGGTTTTTATTGACCTGTTCTAGTATCTCTATTGAAGAAAAGTTATTTCAAAATATCCATTGCTATTGTTTTATCGCCCAGCTAAATCTCTGAGTGAGACAAAAAAGAAACATCTAGTTGTACCAGATTAAAACTAAAAACAGATTTTTAGAAGTTTTTTTATACTGTTGTCAAAAACCAGTACCCAACTGGGTTCTGGCTGTTGTAGGCCAGTTGGAGACACAAATGTTTGGTCACACTGAATTGATACAAATACAACTTTGACAAGAAACATTTTTCTTGTGTATTAGCCTCTAATTGTCCTGATTATGTTTCCATTAGTGCACAATTTACCCTAATTTTATTTGCCATTCCTCCACTTTCTGATCTAAACAAAACAAAATAATTCCACAAATAAATGTCTTAATTTCAAGTTCATAAAATTGTTATGTAAATAGAGCTGTCTGGCCTGGGGTGGGGGGCAGCAAATTTATGAAAGCGGACGTCGGCCCCCATTGGTAAGGTCACTGCCCTAAGTCAGCCATGTAAACGTGCTTCAGCAGCATTGTGCTTTGTTGCTACGACACAAACACTTACAGGTCCTGGTCTGGTTCCAAGGCCGTTTGGGTTTGTGAGAGGAATGCTTTCATTGCAGAAAAGTGTTTTGTCAGTCAAATCTTTATTACAGTTGCACTGCAATCAAGATCATCAATGTAGTCTCCAACATCTCTGTGTTTAAGTGCTGCTGTGAAAGCCACTGCTACTTCCAACGTGCACTTTTCATTTCGTAAATCCCTACCAAACTCTGCGAATAAATTGTCGAGTGCTTTGTTTGCACAGTCCCCAAAATGAAATGAAAGCACAGTCATTGTGAAGAGCAAAACTAAATTCCATTAATGCCTGACAACAACAGAGTTCACTTCATTTTGAAGTACCATGCTTGTGTTGCTGAAAGCCAAGTGTCACATGGGTCTGATATTGTTTCAGAGGCCTTCGCGGCCTTCCTGGTTAAATATTGAGGAAGACACGTGGCATCATTGACATTGTACCCACAAAGAATAAACAAAATTACAGCCAAGGTCTGTTGTTTTAGAGCTGCTCTTTGAGATCATAAACAAGCAGCCAGGCATACATCAGGGAATCTGTTTGTCTTCCTCTTCAGGATGCTTTGTTGCAGCTGGCGACGGTTGTTGATGTGCGCTCGCTGCGAGTGGCCCTGCGAGACAGCATACAGGAACTGCTTCCCAGCACGGTATTTGCTCGCACACACACACACACGCACACACACACACACACACACACACACACACACACACACACACACACACACACACACACACACACACACACACAGCTTTGACACTCGCAAGCGAACATAATTGAAATTTCCTCAATTTATTATGTGAAAGAAAAGCTTCCTGTTAGTATTCATAGTGATGAAACTCAGTGTGTCAGACCTGACATCGCAGCTTGGAACACAAGGCAAAGCCCTTCAACAAACACATAAGACTCGTCACTCATATATCAGTTAGGATCTGATTAATATTTCAAACAAATGTGCGCACTAATTCCATTTTTGGTTCTGTTTTAAAACACAGATAAGGTTTCCCTTTACCTTGCTGACCTTTTGGTTTGCGGCTGCAAACATCCTCAGAGCTGACGCTGATGGTGGCCCTACTCCGTTTATCCGCGGGCAGCAGTGGACGTTGGCGACAAACCTTTTCTGTGTTTTAAAAAAGAACCAAAAATGGAATTAAAAGTCAAACACAGCAAGAACATACAAAAAATGTGCACACTTCTATGTGTGTGTGTCTGATTTATCCCAGGAGTGTATAAGCATCTACACGTTGGAGGGAGACTCGAGGCTGCTGTCTTACGACCCGCTGCATGAACTGCCACCGGAGGGGAAGATCAGGTGTGTGCTGTCTGTGTGTCTGAGCAGCGAGCTATGGATGTTTTGTCCTGGTGAATCACTGCTGCATTTTCTGACTCTCTGCTGCAATGTCGAGGGTGGTGATTGTGTGAGAACAAACAAAGAAGAGCAGGAGGGTGAACGGTGACAGCTGATTTGAGTACCTGAAAAGCAGGTATCACATAAATGAGAATCAACGGCTCAGGATGAAATCAGATCATCATCACACAGATAGAAGTGTCATAGAGCATGATCCCATCACCTAGAAACACAAAGAGGTTACCTGTCTCATATCTTATTGTTGCCACCTCTTGCAGTTTTCCTTGATCTGTTTCCTCCTCTTATATTTTCATCTTATTGAGCATATTTGTCTTTCTGGCAGCCTCTTTTGTCCTCTTCTTACCTTTTCCACCTTCCTACCTCACAGTTTTTATTTTGTCCTGTTTTTCTCTCACTGCCTGCCTTTTTAATCTTTCTGTACGCCTACCTCCCTCTTGTACCTAAAGCTTCTCTTTCACTGTCCCCGTGGAAGCATTGCAGAGCTAATCGCCCAGATAGCAGTGCCCCTCGGCCCCTCAGTGAGACACGGTGATCCTCTCCTCTCCTGAATGCTCTCTGACGCTCTGCAGCGCCACACACTCCTGTGACTGCTGTCCAGGGATCCGCAGAAAACCAATACTACATTATTGATGAATCTGTCTGTTTGTCAAACAAGCATCAGGTTTGCAACACCACATTGCCACACAGACACGGGATGAACTTGTGAGAAACAAGTTAGCACACGTTTCCAGTATCCCACACACACACACACACATTTATCATGGCTGCACTGATCATAGTCAGAGCACTACAAGGCACTAAGTTGCCTTTTTCCTACGATTCATTTGCTTATGTAAGCCTGTTATGAAGACCTTTCTGCACACCCACCCACCCATCCACCTACACACACACACACACATTCTCATTTTGACTGTAGTTGTGAGGACCCTCATTGAGTTCCATTTATTTTTGTGACTGCATTATGCCTAACTCTCACCATTACAGGTCTATTTCTGACCCTAATCCATCCATCCATCCATTTTCTGAACCCGCTTTGTCCATGCAGGGTCGGGGGGGGGGGGGGGGGGGGGGGGCGTTGGTACCTATCTCCAGCGGTCAACGGGCAATCAGGCGGAGTACACCCTGAACAGAGAGCCAGTCCATCGCAGGGCAACACAGAGACACACAGGACAAACAACCATGCACACACTCACTCACACCTAAAGACAAGTTAGACAGACCAATCAACCTAACAGTCATGTTTTTGGACTGTGGGAGGAAGCCAGAGTACCCGGAGAGAATCCACGCATACACAGGGAGAACATGCAAACTCCAGGAAGTGAACCAAGGACCTTCTTGCTGCAAGGCAAGAGCTCTAACCACTGCGCCACTGCACAGCCTATTATTTCTGACCCTAATATTAACTAAAACTTAATTCACACCAAACCTGTAAAACCAACTCGTAGAGCTCAGTAACAGTGTATCAAAGTGAAGGCCAGGCTAAATGTCCTCACTTAATAGGTGAAAACTTTGGTCCTCAGTATGTAGTATAGACAATTACACACACACACTCATGTTTTGTTGTCCTAACCCTAACTCTAAATGGTGTTAACTTTTTTGGGACTCAGGTAGTTTGTCCTAAAGTTGTCCTAAACTTCTCTGATATTATTGAGTTATAACCTCTCACACCAGTGGTGTTTTGATGGTTATTATGTAATGAATGGAGGATCCAGGGCAGTACTGCGGTTCGGTGAGTTTGACAACCAAATGGTCCAATAGTTGCTTTCGGTCCAAAACTTTTTATTGGCAAAGGTTTTTAGACAAATGTGAGAGAAACGATTTATTAATTATTTTCATTTTTTATCTCCACAATATTGTTGTATTTTGTGTCTTTGTTCAGCACTTTGGTCAGCCGCATTCTGTTTTAAAATGTGCTATAAAATTAAACATTGGCATGGTATGGTAAGCATACACACACAAAAATGCACAGACATTGGGGCAAGAAGGCTTCTAAGATAGTTTTTCTTCTAAACTATTTGTCGTGCATCAGACTGTTGAACTCTTGCAGCTAAACAAGCTATTGTTAGAAATCCTGCAGATGGAGGTGGCATTCATGTGTAAGAAAAGATAGAAAGAAAACAATCATTTATGCAGCGCCTCTCAAGAAAAAATCACAAGACGCTTCACAAAAAAAATTTAAGTATAAAAAATATTTTCAAAAATCATTTAAAAATGTTTAAAATGAGAAAAAATTCTAATTTCTGATTTAAAAAATGTAAGGAAAGGGAGATAAAAATGATAAGGAAAGAGCGAAATCGGTGGATCCTTGGAAAGGCACAATGCAGGATAAGGAGAGGGTGACGAAGGTCATACAAAAGCCAGCTTGAACAGGTGAGTTTTCAGCTGCATTTTAAAGGAGACCACTTAGTCCATTTCTCTCATGCTCAGGGGGAGAGAGTTCCAGAGTCTGGGGGTCACAGCAGCAAATGATCTGTCACATTTGGTCTTTAGCCTGGTGATAATATAGCATTCATATGCAGCTATGGCCATTAGTTTAGAGTTTATCTTTGATCATTTTTTACTTTATATCCACTGCTTTAATTTTACTTTAAAACTAATTAAATTGCAGTTTTCAGAGTTAACTCTACAAATTGTTGTATACGAGTTTAAAAAAAATCATGTTTTGGCTTCAAATTTCTCTTTTATGCCAAGAAAATTACAAATTGCATTTTTTAATAACAGTTTTATGATGTTTTTTTTTTTATTATTCTCTTGCACAGATCAATGCAAAAATCACTTATCTGCTCCAAACTGGCAGCTAAATTAACACAATGCAAATATAGTAATTGCCTGTCCAGAAAATGAACTTCTGCCACATATTTTTGGATTTTTAGATGTCATTTTCAGAAAGGTGTGGTTTTTTTGTTTCTGGAGGCTGTTATTGCAGCACCCCCCTAAGATTCTTAAATCAGTATAGTGTTTGTTGCTCTAACCTTATTAGGTTATCACCTTCCAGAAACAATGACGTTATCAAATATCTTCACTTTGAGACAAAAAACTATTAAATAATTATTATTTGTTTATTATAACATTAAATCTATATTAATTATTAATTTTTTGAAGATGATGAAATAATTGGGGTAAAAGAATGGCACACTAAGAGTCATAATTGACCATGTTAACGGCATACAATCATAATGGTCATCATTATTGGTTTTTGTTGGGTATTTTTAAATCCTGAAATGAACCACACAGGAGAGAAGTCAGTAGGTTTTTACGCTGCGAGAGTGGCAGCGGAGAGAGAGACTAGCTCAGAACCTGTTTAGGCCCTGTTCCATTCAACTCTCTGGCACGTTCTCTCTCTCCAGCTGGTTTTATTGAAACACAAGCAACCAAGGACAAAGAACAATCCATCACTGCCCACACTTAACCAATAACACTGTTGCTTCTGTCTAAGGTGGGAACTTCTAAAAAGGAAGTCTCAAGTTACAGGGGTGACTCATTCAGCCTGCCAGCTTTCCTGTTGCCAAACAGAGCATTCCCAACCCCCATGCTTATCAGGCAGCATACCATAGCCAGAGAGAAGAGGAGAAAGCCCTGTGGCTTACTTCACAATCATAAGATTAACACATGATTACTTAAAAAGCAACATTTAAGACAGTAATGCATTAAAATCTCCAACGTTTCCCCCTGAAATGTGACTCTTTAAGTAATAAAAGATAAACTAAACTAACTTGAGAAGGTGTATGCCTCTTGAATGATAGAAATCAGAGTCATACCAAAATATAAATAAAAATGTGAATTTTTACTTAGCATATAAGGGTGTTAAATAGAACCCTAGTAGAGATAAATGTAAAAAATAGAATGTAATAAGTAAAATTAAAAAATTGAAAAATACATTTTCATACCAAAAGACCTGAGTAAGATCTTAACAACCCAAAAATCAACCATAAAAACCTAAGTAATTAGGAATTATGACATGCCTTACCCGTGCGAGATTTAGAATGTTTAATCAACATGACAAATTTAGCTTAGCCAAATAATGCAGACATCAACCCCTACATGTTACCTTGTGAGTAATTTAATATAGGTGTATCCTTGATTTATTAAGCTAAACTACACTCCGGTACCTCAACCATCTAGGCCAGGTCAGTTTTCATCAGGAACCTTCAGTTAGATCAAAGTGTTATTCACAATAACATAATGCAAGAAAAAAAAACACACAATATGATGAAAAGTCTAAGGTGAGGAGTTGGACTCTTGTGAATTTCCGTCCAATTTGCACTTGAATTTTCATTATGTCCGTCATTTCCTCATCCAGCTGCAAAAAGACCTCCTTCTGAAGCAAAGAGGAGGTCTAGCGCCATCTGGTGTTCCATTGCCATAGTGCGACGAGCTGCCTTCTCAGGGTCATCTGCCATCATATTGATCCCCCATCCATCGCTGTACAGAGTTTTCATCCTTTGTTGTCAGAGAATGGCTTATAGACCTGAACAGGTTTTAAAACTCTTTGTCGCAGATGATTGGGTCTTTATGTTAGTGCGCTTTCTGAACTGAACTGAACGCTCTTGAAATCAACTGAAACTGCAGATCCTGTGGTACTTGTGCTTTTTGTCCGGGGTGATGTCAGCCCCCCCCCCCACCCCCCCGCGTGCTCATGCCTCTTCTCCACGAGCTTGTCTGGGACACAGAGGGGGTCTCCCCTCCCGAACCATCCTTGTCATACTCATCTGAGATGTCCTGTTGCTCCACTTAGAGCATGGATCCATCCTGACCTCGGTGTCTGACCTCTTCACCTCGCCTCCTGCCCAGGCTTGATGCACTGCAGTGGTTCTCTGCATCAGTCACAGGCTGTGTGCTCAGGCCCTTGCGCTTTGCTGCTGGTGTGTTGGTGTAGGATGAGATGGAGGAACTGTTGTTGATGTCATCTGTGTCAATGTTGTCGTTGATTTGAGCCAAGTTCT